TTCGATATTTATATCTCATATCTACATAATGCTCAAATAAATATAATCTCAATGGAATTTATATTGAAATCGGAAGGAAGTATTACCTTAACTATTTATCAATATTAGCTTTTATCATTTACATATATGTTCATCTTACTAAATATTTACTTCTTTTTTTTTTTTCTTCTGTTTTACAAATCCTAATCTTAACTTCTATTTTTATAATTGATTTGCATTTTTACTAATATATATATTGTACTTTTTAGACATTTTTATTCAATTAAGATTTTTTTTAAACATTATTCGATTTATATTCTTTATTCAAACATTTAGTTGTTTTATCTTTATTTTATAAAAAAAAAAAAAAAAAAAGTTGATTTTAATTGAAATAAAGAATTTTTTTTATAAAATGAAAATAAAAAAAGCAAAATAAAATGTTATTATTTGATTGAATGTAATGAATTATTGTTTATAGATTTGTAATTAAAGTTATATGTATATATGATAATAAACGATAATGAAGTGTTTTCGTCTTCGTGATGATTTATATTATTGAATTTTATTTTCAAGGAAATGATTTCAATTGATTTTTTAGTTTATAGAAATTATTCGAAATAAGTATCATTCTTCATCAATGACAGTTCACTTCACTTTTTTTATGTAAATTAATCGGAAGTTATTATTATGCAACGGATATTTTTGTTTTGTTTCTCTCTAAAATAATATATTGAACATTTATTTAATACATATTTATAGAATTGTTTATCAAATTTTTTTTATTTTACATATTTTTATGTAAAAATGAGTAAATGTTGATATATATATATATATATATTTAAATAAAATAAGAAATAATTTCTTGATTGAAGCCAATAAATAAAAATAGATAAAATATATAGATATAGGTTGATAATTGGAAATAAATAAATCGAAATTCTCTTTCTTGAAAATCCTCATAGAATAATAATAAAGATAATAAAAGAAAATGTTGATAAAAAAGACCTTGGAAAAAAAACGTATCATTTTTATATAAAATGATATGATGATAATCTGACAAGAGAAAATATTCTTTAGTGGTCTCACTTGTTATTATAATATCCCTAATGTGATCATAGGTGCACTATTCTCTTTTCTCAATTGTCTATCGTTTTTTTGACTAATGTATCATAACTGTCTATATCATTATTTATCGGAGTTTTTACGTATCAGAATAGAGAATGACATCAGCATTCAACAAAACAATTCAATTGATTGATGAGAACGGCTTATCTATATAGAAATTAGCAAAAAAAAAGAAAACAATAACTATCAGACTTCATTTCATATATTAATATAAGACAATTTATAATCAATATTTAATTAGTTTTTTTACTTATTTAACAATTTCGATTTATTTCCTATTTGACATATCAATCTACTATATAACAAATATTATTATTATTTATTTTATATATAAAACAAAAAAAAGAAAATATTTTTATTCGACTAGAAATCTTTCATTAAAATTTCGAATTATTAGGAATTAATCAGATACAGATTATAAATTAAGATCAAATTAATTAAACAATTATTCAAGATTTATCTTTTACAAGAACCGAACTATCTAATAAAAACTTATCTTATTCGATTTTAGTTAATCATATTTACACTAGATGAATTGACATTTTTCATCCAAAATAATCTCATTTATAATAAAGAATAAACATTTTTCTGATAACTTTATTTTCAAGAACTATTTTCAGAGAACAGTTATTCATCATGGAAACTATTAATCAACTGTCACATTCTTAATATTAACTTTTTATTTTTAAAAAATATCTCAACAAGAATCATAGAAGATTGTACTGCACAACAAAACAACTAATAATAATAATAGAAGTCAAGTTATTTTTCGATATCTCACAATAATAAGAGAAAGTATTTCATCTTTGAAACTAATAGAATTTAATATAGATAAATATAAAAATTTTCGAGTAGCTTTTTCTCTTCAAAGTAAAATCATATATAGTAGTTTAAAGATAATTCTCCGAAGATTCATGTTTGTTCTTTTCAAATAAATATCGAATATCAAAGATAAAGATCTTTTTTTGTTTTTGTTTTTATTTTTAGTAAAAAGATCCATGTGAAATAAATATATTGTAAAAGATAAAAGATAGATGTTTAATAGGAAGATATTTTTAATTATTTGTTTCATAATGATTGTAAATTCTTCAAATTTTCGCTTTGCTTCAATAGAATACATTGATTTATTAGTTGATGATAGAAGTTTATCTAAAAATTTTTTTTTTACAGATAAATATAATGAAACCCCACTGTGAACTATTATTATTGACGTCATTAGAAATATTTTAACCTTATGTCAAGTAAAAAAAAGTCAGATGTTAAGCGTTCCATCTAAGAGAATAACAAGAAGAAGTCAAGATAAACTCTATGAATAATATTTTATTGATAGACATTTTAGGGAATTTTCAAAACAAATTAATTAAAAACCTAACGATTAGAATATATCGAATTATTCCATAATGGAACAGTGATATTTCTAATGAAGTTGAGTTTTTTTTTTGATGTTTTATAGGTCTTCAATAATGTGTTTTAGTTGTAGAAGATAAATTCTATCTGTTAAACAATCTCATCTATCTGCAGTATCGTTAATAAAGATTGTCTTTATGTCTTGTTGTTATTCTCTGAGGTGACAAATGAAACTTATCTATGGAACGCCCTACATCTGTCTTTCGTATTTGACATAAACTAGAATCTTTTTAATGATGTTAACTATAATATTTAACAATTGAATTTTCTTAGATTATACGTAAAAAAACCTCTATTTAGATAAACTTCTAAGAGTAATGAAAAAAAGCAGCAGATCTTATTGAACTGAAAGATAAATATTTCAATTTATTATTTCCGTGTTATTTAAAGGTCATATTGTGCTTTTCATAAATTCATTTGTGCACTAAAAGTGCACAGATGTTGATCTGTAAATAATAAAGATCAAGAAGGTTTTATTCTTGTTAAGTTTAATTAAGAAAGAGATTAACATAAAATAAATGATTTTCATCATTCCATAAATATTTTTCATTTTACAGAATTTTTTTATTTATTAGATTTTCTTTTTTTTTTCTCGAAAATATCTTAACAAAATATTAATGATCTTTCAATATATAAAATTTGTTTTATTTCTATTTGATTGTTAATAATGAATTGCATCTTATAGGAATGATGCATAAGAGAATTTAAGATAAAAACGATATTCTTTAAGTTTTGATTAGTTTTTGATGAATAAAATCTATGAAAAGTAAATTATAGACGGTTGAAAATAACTAAATAGAATAGAATAGAATCTATTGCGTTGTTCAAAGTAGAGAATTGTAAAAGAATATAAAAAAAATGAATTTATATATTCAAAGATCTAAATAGAAATAAAAAAAAAAGAATACTCAAATTCTGAATTATATCAAAAATTGTTATTCCATTGATAGATTCAATTAGGTTTGTTTTTAATACAATTTTATTCTAATATTAGTGACGTTATTTTAATCTTATTTCATAATATAATAGTGATAATCTTTGTTTATATTCAATATATTCTTCTTTTCTTTAGATCGATAACTATAAAGACGAATTTCGTATCGTTTTTCTCCTATTTTATTTTATTTTTTATCAGTGATAACCAATTTTGATCTTGTTAAATGGTCTGATTGGATGACTTTTCGATATTTGAACTTGTTATCATATATAATAATAAGAATAACAAGTCAATTTTTATTCTAACTAGAAGAATATCTTGTTGAATATAAATGTTTTATAGAATTAGAAATAGTTTCTATAGTGACTAATTGATTTATTTCATAATAATAATAATAATAATAATGAGAAATCGAAAGATCTAAAGTAATTTAATGAGACCCTTCAGCAAGGTCGAAACCGGTCATGACTGATAAAAGATAATAAATAATAATAAAATAAGGTGATGATTGATTTTAGACATAAATTAGTTTTCCTATTATCAATGTTTTAGTTGATAAAGTCTTTGTTTATAAAATTATTCTATATTCGTCTAGAAGTCTCTGACATAAAATAGAGCTGATTAGTAGATCAATGTCAGACAGAATTAAAAATAAAATATGTCATTATTCAAAAAAAGATTCTTCAAAACAAATATATAATAACTCGATATAATAGTTAATAAATAGATATTTATATAAAATTAATTGAAAATCAATTCGAAATAAAATCTCTGATCTGGTTTAAATCACCAGTGAACTTTTTTCTTTTTTTCTTTACATAAGATATGTATCATTTTATTTCTTTTAACAATATCGATAACAGTAATACTCTAATTACATGTTGAATAATGTCTTCATATCTTTTTTTGTATTCTATAAAATGAAAAAAAAATTTTTTTTTTTGTAAAATTAATAAAATATAAGATAATAAACGTTAATAAATTAAAATTCTATAAAAATAATTGCAAGAATCTAAAAATACATAATAATTTGATAATTAGTCTTTATGGAATGATTTGCATTGATTTAATGATATTTATGTGTTCTTTAAAAACTCTAATTTGTCACGATAAATAAACGAGAATAAAAAGAAAAAAATAAATAAATATCTTCAATAGAATTTTTATTAAATATCTTTTTGAATTATTGAAAATATATTTTATTGATTTGAATATAATATTATTCTATTATTATATTTAATATTATTTTTCTTGAAAAATCTTTTAGATTTCAAATGAATTAATAAATGATTTCCTTTTAAATAAAATGATAAAGATAATATATAAAATAAAATAAAGGGAAAAATTCATCGTATTTTTATTGAAAAAGAAAAATTGTTCAAACTATAATATGAAGAATTTAACATAATTATAGAAGTTTAGTTTTTAGAGAGAGAAAGAATATGAATAAAAATCTGTTTGTAAAAGCTGATAAAATTGATCAACTAAATAAAAAGGAAAAGAAAAGAAAAGAAAAACTAAACAATATTAAATAATATTCTTTATTTTCCAATTAAGGACAATAACGTGTCATTTCAGAAACAGTACATACACTTTGACAACAAGCTTCTGTTAGTAATTTTTGTTTTACAAATCGAGAAAAACGTTGTTTCATTGGATTGATTCGTTGTTGATCAAGAGCTTGACAAACAATATTAATTATAAATAAAACTTGAGTTCCACATGCATGATATGCTCGATGAAGTTCACAACCTTCAACTTTGAAGAATTTTCCACTTTGTTCAATAGTTTGACCTTCATGTAATTCTTCTCCTTTATGTTTGAGATTACAAGCTCCTTTTGAACTTTCAATATCTACTTTATCGCTCAATGCACTTTGAGCTAATAATATTAATGTTAGAAATATAATTGTATTGAACAACATTGGATTCATTAGTTATCGATTAGAAATTAACTAAATAAAAAATAAACAAAAAGATTAAATGAATATTAGAAGTTATATTTAGGAAAAAAAACAACAACAACAACAACAACAATGAATTTGTAACATACATTATCAATGTAAGTGTTATTAAATACGAGGAGAATAAGGGATTTAAATCTGAGAAGAGAACGTTCGGTATTTATAGTTTTTAAAAAAAACAGAGACGTAGCAATTAACTAAATAAAGAACATACTTATTTATCTTAAACAATTGAATAAATATTTATTAGTCTTTTTATTTTTTTATTTCTAAAATATTTGTTCTTTCTATTTAGAAAAAAAGAATTATCTTTTTCTCACAAATATCTCACTTTTTTATTATTATCAACTTACAAAATAGTAGAATGTTTTTTTAGGAAAACAATAGTTCATTTTTCATTTTAATCTATTATTTATTCTCAAATTAAATATCTTTTTTTTTTAACAGGGAAATCATTAAATTTGAAAAATAGTTTTAACTCAATTAAATAAATGTGAAAAGAAATATATTATTCTATGTTTTGAAAATTTTACCTCGGATATACTTTTTCTTACAATGATTTCTATATTCAACATGAAAAGAAAAACCCTTGAGATTATCTTGGTTCTCATAGAAGAGATTTCACATTAATATTCAACTATAGAATTTTTTACGGAATTATATCTGTTGAGATTCTTCGCATGTTTATCTCAAAAGAATTAGTTAGTATTGGTGTGTGCTCATTAAAATGCATCTGCTCTAGCAATCTAAGATTATTTTATTGAGCAATTCTCTATAAATCTGAAGAAGAGCAACATGTCATGATGTGTTACTTTTACTATTTATTCTTTTCCTTTAGTTTCATGCATAGTTTAAATATAGTTAACTACGTTGTAAACTCAATTTTTGTTTGTTTCTATTGGTTAATATTATTATTTTAAAAAAAGAATAAATTAGTTTCTTAGAAAACAAACATTTATAAATAAAAAATCTTTTTCTATTCGATGAGATACTTATTATATTGATAATCAATATAATAATTTCTATAATAATAATAATAATATTTGTTTTGATATCTACTCAAATCAGTTAATATCAAAATTTTCCATATAGGTTGTTTAGAGTGAATATTAAATTGATTCTTTTTGGTACATGGTTAATGATTCATCATTGATGCATTTTTTATAAATTTTATGCGTTGAATTCTACTATTTAAGTTTTTGTAAGTAATGAACTTAATAGAATTAAAAATAAACAATGTTCGATTTTCATATCGTTTAAAAAAAGAAATGATGTTTATTATGAAAAATGAAATATTTCGATGATGAAAAAAATAAATTGATAATTGAGCTTTTATCATAGATTTGTCTACATAGATATTTATTTCCTTCGTTATAATAATGACAGATGTTTCTAGCTGAAAATCATGTTGAGTCTATATTTTGGCTTGTGGTTGAAGGTGTTATCCTAATATTATGATTGTTAATGAAAAACAAATTATCTTTGATCATATATCAAATATAAAATCATTAATTGTGATAAGAAAGATAAATCCGTACTCCGAACTTATACGAGCGGAAAATGTAGGCATACCATTTATGTCAGTATAATCATTTTGACTTAATCTCATTTTAATAGACATTTGTGGGAGTTTAACACATATGAAAACAATGACATTGATTTTTTTATAATCATATCATTGACTTTTAACTGAAAGTAAAACGCACTTACATTATTAAATTTATTTGAATTTTTCATTGTGAATAAAATTTTTTTTGACAGGATCAAAAAGTCTAATGTCATTTTGATTTCCGTTTTGTTATTTGTTTGTTAAAAATAATTAGTTATGAAGTTTTTTCTTATAAGATTTATTATTTATGACATTGGAAACAGTCAATGAGTAGAATAAAATACTCTACTAGACTGAATTAGTTAGGAGAAATAGGAAAAAAAACATTTGATATTTTTCAATAAATAAGAAAATATATTAAATTTGATGAAGTAAGAAAAATATTTTATTTAAATCAAAATATTTTTAAGTAAAATAAATCAATATTTTCCATGTTTTATTTTTCAAAATAAAAAAAAATCGTTTTATAATGTGTATAAGATTGTTTAGTTTGAACAAAGGTTATAAGATTGTTACACCCGTGGACAAAACTCTTTTCCCCTCTCATTTTTTTCAGCAAGATTTTCTCTATTATTATAAGGACCAACCATGGTGTTCTTCAGATCGATCAGGGGGTTATTAGGGGTCCTCTTTTATATGCTCAGAACAGCGCCATGTTTGGTCGTTATAATAGTAGAGAAAACCTTGCTGAAAAAACGAGGGAAGAAGAAAGACATTTGTCCAGGGATGTACTTTTATATTCATTAACATATAATCGATTAACAAATAAATGTCGTATTATGTTTTTCTTATAGATTAAAGACTTTGAATTGATGTTCTTTATTTTTGTTCGTTTGTGATGCACTTCATTATATATATTATATGAAGCTCAACTAATGGATTATTTCCATTTCATATTTTCTTTGAATTTATTTATGTGAATATAATATATAAGAAAAAAAAAAGAAATTATTTGTCATCTTAACTTTGTTCTCTTTGTTTTGTTGTGTCAAATAGAAATCCTATATTATTATTTAAAATCGAGAGTAGTCTATAAATGGTATTATGATAAACAAATTAAATATTTTCATTTTGATTCAAACAAATAGATTCATTTTTTAGTTCGTCATAGAAATTTATTTTATATTTTTTGTTTCCTATGCGGATAAGGCAAACAAATACTAATATTAAGTATTATTGTTGACATCATGAAAACAATTTAACCTGTTATCAAAGAAGCAAAATAACATATGAAGCATTTCATAGTTTATTTTCAATTGTTCTCTATAAGAGAATTATAAGAAAAAAATCAAATCAAACTAGATTTATGTAGATAGAGCAAATTTTTCGAACTAGTCTCTTAATATTCAATAGTTTTTCAAATTTTCAATTTTCAAATATGGAACACTGCTTTTTACAATGGAGTTGGGGGCTCAATAGACTGTAATTGTGCATTTTACTTATGAAAAATGAATTTTACCATTTAAACTGATTAGTTTTAAAAAAATTGTTTTGTTATGCATCAATATCAAATCATTGATAAGGTTCGTTTTGACTTGTTTTTATTATTATTATTATCTTAGATAATAATTGAAAACTATTTATGAAACTTGTCATATGTATGCTTTTTGTTTGACAATAGATGAAATTTCTTTAGTGAGGTTAAAAATAAAACTTAACAGTAAGATTTGTTTACGTTATTCGCATTAAAAAAAATGAGTGAGTAAGCTTCTATCACAAATTTCGGGTCCATCCTGTATAAATGAATTATTCATTCTATTATCTAATCGTTCATTGTTGAACTTTGGTAATCAAGCAAAATAGGCGAATGAAATATTTAAAATAATGATTAAACTGAAGAAAAAAACATAGACAATCTCCTAAGTAATTACAGAAGATTTTATTGTTTAGTTCGATTGATGATGAATAGAAATAACAATTGAAATAATATTTTAAATAGTTAATACTAATCAAATTATAATAAATATCTATTTATATATTTATTTCAACGCATTAAAATCTATTTTAAACTAATTAATAAATAATAAGAATAGAATTCTTTTAAAATATATTTCAATTTTTAGTTTTTTATTTCAAATTTTTAGTTTCTATTTAGGAAACGATAAATAACTACGAACAAATAAAATGATTTTTATTATATTAACAAAGAAAATATCTTTGAAATTTTTCTTTTTGTTTATTTCAAAGATAGAACTTTTTAAAAAATTTTTTCTTTTCAGATACATATCATTCTTCTTTATTTTATTTCACTTTTATAATTATACTAACAAATGCATAAATAAAACTTCGAAGTAACAAAAATAAACCATCTTGAACTTAGTCAAAATTCTAATGTACAGATCATATCAATAATATACTTAATCATCTATTCATTTATATAAAATATTCTTGACAAATAGTTTTTGTTTTAATTATCATGGCTACATTCATCGTCAAAAATCTTCTCCCTTCCACTTATCATTTTTGTTTTTTCGTCTAGAACTGTTCGCATCTCAAGCGAATGTTAATTACAACAATGATTTACATACTCTAATTCTAGTATAATGTATGATTGATGACGATCTATTTCAATGAATAATCTACGTCATTTAATAGAATCGACCAAGGCTAAAAATCAGGTAGTTGATAAAATACTTTATGGCTAAGTTATCGTTTTTTTTATTTGTCAGATTTTCTGAATGTTTTACTAGTTTTACTTTATCTATATTTGTATAATATAAAATATATCGTATTCTCGGAAGAGCTTTGAGTCATCGATGAACAGAATTTAATTATCCAAACCAGTAAAACAGTTAGCAGATACTAAAAAAAAAGAGATAATTCAATGATGAAACATTCTGTTAATCAACTGATTGGTAGTGTTACTCAATTCTATTGAAAGATGTTTTTTCTTCATTGGAGCAAATTGTTATCAATCATACATTACATCACATCACATTACAATTTCTGTTAGGAAAATGAGAAAAAGAATTTATTTTTTTTTTATTTTCTAAGAACTTATAATAATTGATAATATAAATACATAAGAAAAATTGGTAAGAAGACATTCTATATGTAAATGTTGAACTTGATTTTAAATGAAGATGATTAAGTGAATAAATACAAAGAAATTTATGTTTAATTATTAATACGTAAGACAAAAAGAAAAGAGAATATATTTGAATGAAAATAATAAATCATCTTTTTATCATATTTTATGTTTATATTAGTAAAAGATAAGTCTTTTCAGGAAAATTCAAAGAAGATTATTAACTTTTGCTTTTGTTTCAAAATCGTAGAGAAATAAAAGAAAAAATATTAATGAAAATATTCACGTTTACAATGATTATTTTAATAAGAATTTAAAATTTTGATGACAAACTTTACCATACTATCAAGTTTGAATATGCATAGACAAATTTAGTGAATATATTTAATATTTGTCTTATTATTTTCGTATTAATGAACAAGTCTTAAGATGAAAAAAAGAAAGTAATATGATAGAAAATCATCGAGAAAGAACCTCCATAAAAAAATGAATAAACTAATCAGTTAAAATTACACACACCTCGATTGTCAAATGAAGTTTTAAGATTATTTTATTTTACAAAGTTTTTCTCTCATCGAATTTGTTTAATGAATTTAATAAACTGTTATATGAAAAATATGTTCGTTGCTGATAAGGGGTAGAACAATTTTGAGAATGATTCTACCGTTAACTGTTATTTTGATTTTAGTTTTTTAATAATATCTATAGAATCAATCATTTTTTTTATCTTTTTTCATTTAAATAAATCTTATTCTTATTGAAGAATATTGTTCTATGTTATAGATTATAATTGACGATTTAAAAAAAAGATAGATCTATTATATTGATCTGTTAATAAAGCGTGTTGAGTAATTTTTTAATCAAAGATAAATCGATATTAATAATTAAAATATTCATCTGAAAAAATGAAGAGAATAAAAGTTGTTTAGAAGTATGATTGTTAATATAAATAAAATGATTCACTTTTCAATGAATTACCAAAAAAAAACATCTTTTATATAGATTAGAAAACAAACGACAAACGCAAATCAAAAATTCATTTAAAAAACCATGGAAAAATCTTGTCTTTGTTTTTCTTTTGTTGAAGAATAAATCTATCAACTATTTATAACTCATCTAAATTACAATTCTTTACAAAAATCAAAGATTATCTTAATTGAAAAAATAATCTATCAAAATAAAATTCTTTCATAAATATAACTTTAAGATATTATTATACTCTTTAGTAAAAAAACAACAGATCACTATAACAAATTCTAATCAAGTCATCAAATTTTATTCTTTCAATAAAATAATTTTAATCTCTTCTTGTAAGACATTGACGAAAACCATTTTTATTTCTATCGAATATTAGAAATAAGTTTGGTAGATAAATGATTTTTTTGACTGTGTAATAAATAATTCGGGACAGATTTTTTTCTGTCATCTTACATCGTGTTTCAATTTCTATAAAAGAATAATTATACCAACGAAAAGAGACAATTTGAAACTCCTAGTTGACATTGTGTTTATTAGTCTGAAAACCAACCCACGAAAGTCTAATGGAATGGGATTGTTCATTCTTATATTAGGAACTAGGATAGTCAATAATCTATAATCCCATAGGTTTCGTAGCAAAAAAAACCGATCGATTAGATGAAATGGTATCATCGTCAGACAAAAATTCTATATGAAATAAATAGACGATTGTTTTTCTTATATGACAGAAAGATATACAATCTCGTGATACTGATGTCATTTTTCGCATAAGACTTTTAAGAGCATACCTTTTATCAAGATTATCAAACTACAAATATAAAACGATATTGATTCTATGAGTCTCGTCGATATATATATAGATCCTAGTATTTGGTTTAGAATCCCGGCAACGTATAAATACATCCAAATCTAGTTATTGAACAAAGATGTCACTAGCATATTCTTTCTCGTCATAGATCTTCTTTCGTTGTTCTACATATGAATAATATCGGTTACAGCTTTCTTTTCTTTGTGTATGTTCAAGTATATTTCCAATATGTCACTTTACTACTGGTATATTCCTCATGTATTGGTTATTCTGTGTGCAGTTATTCCCTCTTAGCTTATCATTATTTTTGGATTTTTCACGATGAGAAAATTTCTTCTCTTTATCACCTTATGTAGGGTTTTCCCAAGTCAAGTGTGTGTGTGTGTGTGTATGTCTATAGGTGAAAATAAAGAGTGAACTGATCTAGACATTGATATATGACGATCTGTGTATTGTTGATGTCAATAAAAATCATATTTACACATTTATTATAGAAATTTTGTTTTTTTGCAAAAAAAGTAGGGAGTCAAAGGATTAAAGAACATGCATGTAAAAAATATGTTAATAACATATCTAACATCTGATTCTACTATTATTGTTTGATACAATTTTATATTTAAATGTATGTTTATTGTACTTTCGAATGAAACAGTTTATTCTCTAATATTATCTTTTTTGTGTTTTTTTTTCATAATCAGCTTTGTATTTTATTGATAAAAACAAAAAAAGTTCAATGATATTATTTGAGAATAAAATCGAATAATTAAATATATTCAATAAATCGACTAGAGAATATTTAATTATGTTAATAATAAGATAAATATAAATGTCTAAAAGTTATATTTATTATTAAATAGATATTTGTTCATAGTTCGAATATCTTTTTAGTATACCTACCGAAAAAAAAGAACAATGAAAATAATCTTTTTTTAAAATGAAAATTGTCTTTTCTTTATATTTCTAATAATCATTTCTATTTATCATTGTTGAAAATTGAACTATAATTCGATTGAAGTTTTAGAAATGAATAAAACGAAATAAATATATTGTGACAGATGTGAAAAATCTGTCGAGACATCGTTCTAAAGTGCATAAAAATCTAACAATTAAGTCATTGGGTAAACGTATGAGGCATAGAGTTATCTCAATATAAATATAATTTATGTTATAAGGTCAAATAAATGTTTTTGTCAAAGAAGTTGCTGACATTCTTGTTTAATATAAATATTCTTTTCCTTCATCAGTCGTGTCAATCTTCTTTGAGAACATTATTTTAATCAACAGGTAGATTTTTTTTACAGCTGATTTTTATAAGACAAATTTTTAAAAGTTAAAAAAATTTTTTTTTGTTATAGAATAATGACAATTGAAATGTTCATATTGACATTGTTAATATCCGGATCAATGTTGACGAATACACATATGTGTCAATGTCAATGTTGTCGATATATGGGACCACTTTATCCAAATAATAGACGTTCATGTGCATGTTCTGTTACAAATCAAGGAAAACCTTTTGGATGTGGTGGTTCAACTGGTCTTTATTCTGCTCGAATATGTACAATTAAAATTCATCCATTTTATGATCCACTTAGACCAAATCTTTGTTGTCAACTTAAATTTGTTTAATCACCTTTTTGTTTTCTTGCATCATTATACATTTAATATTGATTAATTATTTATTTTAATTATTTCTATATCAATTCAATGGATTTTTCTTTAATACTATTTAATTTATCAATTTAATTACACAGAACTTCTTTTTTATTTAAAAAAAAATTAAAAATATTTATTAAATTGATATCTATTTCACAAAAACTTTTTTAAATACTTCGAGATATCCAAAACTAGTGACGAAGGTACTTGAATTAGTTATGAAAAACTTAAAGAAAGTCTTTCTTCATATGGACTCATAATAAAAACAACGCTCTATTTTTCTCTGCTATTAGATTATCCCTCAATTAATATCAAAATAATAAAATAGAAGATAAGGACTTTTTTTCCGTCATATGTGACTGCTATACTAAAGCCTATTTAATGAATATTCTTTGAATAACTTTTGATAGAAAGAAAATAGAGAGGTGTGGCTTTCATCTCTCGAAAGAGGAGACAAAGATTCATCGAATCGTAAATTATACGATTTTTAAAAGTTTTCAATCGGTCTCTTTGAAAACAAATCTATCCCCTGAGGTGTTCACAGCAAATTTTCGATTGTTATGGGCATTTTCAAGTCACCAATGGAAGATCTACAAAACTGCACAATATTCAAATGTTTAGAATTAATCATTCAAGACTTTTAGATATTCTAGTCGAAGCTCTAAGTGATTTTTCAAGTCATTTCTGTGAAAAAAGTTTTTTTTTTTTGCTATTTCCTTTTTGATAAAAAAATCATGTTTTCTCCACACTCAGAAAATTGACCATTGTTTTTAATATCAGTTCGTATAGAGAAAAAATTTCTTTTAATGAATTCAAGTATCTCTGCTACTACTTTTGATATGTCCTAAGTATATTCTAATAAAGATCTTCAATAATATTTCAAATGAAAAGAATTAATCATTGTAAATAAATAAATGTTTAATATATATTTAACAAATGTTATGATGATAGAAAAGAATTTTAATGCTTATGAGAACATGATCGTATGTCACGACATAGTATAGATGTCATTCTATTATCAACTTATTCGGTCACAAACAACATTTTTTTCTGTTCTGTGGAATTGAAAGAAAAAAAAATTCATATGCCACGGGCAGGAATCGAACCTGCGTTATCCGGACCACAACCGGATGTACTACCATTATACTACCGCGGCGAAACTTAAATCATTCAAATTTGAAGTCATTCTTGATTGATCTTATAATAAATATGAATAAAACGATCTCTTTCTTTTTTTTTTTTTTATTTAAGAATGTCGAACAATAATTTAAAATAGATCATTTTAATGCTAATATATATTATTTATTTTCAAATGAATAATTCAATAAAAAAAAAAAAAAACAAAAACTAAACATTAATAAATAATAAAAAGAATTGTGAGTAGAAATATTAAAATGTTACAAAGGTGTGATCACTTATTATTTGTTGTCGAAAACTAAATAACACATTATAAAGAAAGAGAAAATAAAGAAAAAAAAGAAAAATGATTGTTAATTAATATAAAAATGTTGATATAATCAATCCATTTTAATATTAATATAAATATATCGAATAAATCTAAGTGAAGAAAAAAAGCCAACAGTACCAAGCATTAGAAAAAATACATAACAACTTATTAAAGTATAACCAAAAAATTGTAATGTTTGTAATGTTCCACTCATTTTTGATCGATATAAATAAAAAAATATCGCATAGAAAAATACAAATAAACCTGTTGATCTAAAAGATTTTATTTAATAATAATAAAAAAAACAAAAAATTTTAAAATAAAAATTTTACCCTGAACTAATAATTGATTGCCACCACCATCGATAATCTTCTGATGTTAATTGAAAATAAGTTAATGCTATTGATATAGATGCTGTTACTAAAATAAGTATTAAAAAAACAATTGTTAATATTCCATATAACATATATTGTTCACGACCCCAAAATGTTGAAAATATATAATAAAGTTCAACACTTATTGATGAAAATGGTAAAAAACCACCAATTAACATTCGTATTATATTTGTTCTATACCATGATACTTGAGGAATTTCACGTGCTATTGCTTTTGTTCGACATGGTGAATCAAAATTTGATGTACAATTTTTACCAAATATTCCACCCAAAATTGTCAAAGGAAATCCAACTAAAATCATTTACAAACAACAAAAATATACAAAATTTTTCTTTTTAATTAAATGAAAATTTTTTACCGAAAAGCCACATAATAGCAAGAATAAGTACAGTTGTATATGGTAATGCTTGTGTTGTACCATGTGCCCATGCAAATGTATTTATAATTGACCAAATAAGAAAAAATGGAATAGTAAAAAGATTAGCTGTTAATATTATATTCCATGTCCAATATTGACCTTGAATTTGTCGATATATTCTTCCACTAACAAAACCTGCTATGCATGATGTTAATGCATATAATATAATAACTGATGCTATTAATGAACCATGACGATGAACAGTAAACATTCCAGCAAATGCAAATAAAAGTATTCCAATAAATATTGATAAAAATTGTGAACCAACACCGATTATTGAACTAAATAATTCACGATATTCAGGAAAACGAAATACATCTGTATGAATTATTTTCCAACCATTTTCTTCGACAACAGGATCATCATCATCATCGTCACCAATTCGATTTAAATCGTTTTTTAATATACGAGACTAAATTAATTTATATTATTATATTCAATTTTTTATTTTATGAACTTTCATCGTCCCATAGCAATGGGAAGGGAGAGAGAGGACAATAATCATTAGGAACGTTTTCCTGGCAATGAGAAAAAAGTACTTTAACAATAGTAGTGCTTAGACTGTTGTTGAACTTTCTAGAATCTTTGAAAGTCTTCTATCTATCTAAGGTTTCTATTGTAGATTCTAACTAGTCAAAATAATGCAAGGTTTTACTATTTAACAAAGAGACAGAATCTTATTGTAGGAGTCATTCAGTAGGATGTTGGTGTTATTGATCTATCAGGTCTATATGCTCTTCGCCGAAACATACTTCGTCGAAAGTATTTTTTGGTCACGGAGGACGCCCCAAAGGTGAGGGTGAGGGCAAAATGAGTTGATCTCTTCATGCTGAGCAAGCCTATATAAGAACTAAAGGACTCACAACAGTCCAAAGCGTCCTACAAGTCTTTCGACGAAATGCTTTTCGGCGAAGAGGGTTACAACCGATCAAACATATTCGAATCGCCGTTTGACTCTAAGATATATAATCAGTCGATAAGATCTTGGTTGAAATCTCCGCTGATGATAAACCTCAGTTGGAATACACTCATCGAAATCATATTTGACTTTTTAAAGAAAATGATTTGGTATTGTCTATCATCAATCAATATTTTCAAGGTGTATATTCATTGATTGTATCTTAAGAGTTCAATGTCAATTCGCATATATTTTACTAATATCCGTGTAAAAAATCTCGTAGACCATTAAAGGACCACCGTCTCAAAAGTGAAACGTTTTTTTCCGAGCATCTAATATTGATAAAATTTTCAGTAGAGATAGACACCTCACAGTAAAAATTTCAGTTCCAATAGATTGACTCTATGAAGGGTTACCTCAAGATTATGGGTCAATATTTAAGTTTCCGTGGATTCGAAATTCCTCCGCTATTTCAAATGCTAGAAAGTTCAGACTGATTTTAAAATATAGCCAAGATGTGGCATACAACTTAACAGGGTCCAATTTTTCGATATTCTCTTAACTTGTGTTTTTAGAAAACTTTTCTGATGAAATATGAAAAAACCTAAGAGATGTAGATCCAGAACAGTTAGCTTCCTATAAACATTAATGAGAAATCGACAAATCCGGCTCTGTTAACTTGTAAAGATAATTTGTGCCTCCATTTTGACAACAAGGTCAGCTTTCTAGCGTTTAAAATGAGAGAGAAATGTGGGATTCGCTCGAAAACGTAAAATAATAAGTGGCAAATTTGATTGTTAAGTAAAAAACAAAACTGTAAATCTTTTGTTTGAATAGAATTTTTAAGAGTAAAATAAAAACTTACAAGAATAATAATAACAAAAACGATGAGAAGAAAAACGAGAATCATTGAATTAATAACCGATAACCAATGAATCTAAAAAAAAACGTCAAATTATTATTTTGAAAAAATAAACAAAAAACAAAACATACTTCAAGTGTTTTAGGAAAAAAAGCAGTATTCGCTATAAATTTTGCTCGATCTTTGAACGATGTTCTTTTATTTAAAAATAAAAATCAATATTTAAATTGAATTATAAAAAAAACCAAAAAACATGTTCTTACTCAGTTTGATACCATTTAGCTGAATAAGTAAATTCAAGTTTAATAGATACAATTGCTTCATCATCTAATGATACAGGTGGATGTTCTTTTGTACTTATATTTACATAAATTATCTAAATATATAAATTAAATTTATCTTATTTTGTTAAATTGTTTTATTTTACTTGTTGATTATTAATAAAAAAATCAAAATGATGATGTGTGTATATATAAATATGATGTTTATGTGGAAATAAATTTGTTTCTTCAATTAATCCAACAAAACCACGAATAGGAACATCATCAACAACAAATTCAAAATAATAATATTCTTCAATAGCTAATTTTAATTTATTTAATCCATCTGATGTTAACACTAATGAACATAATTGTTCATTACTAATATCCTCTAAAATAAAGTATTGTTTTTTTTTTTTATTTAAATAATAATATTAAAATCGAAACCATTAAATTGAATATGATATAATGAACGAGCCATTCGATCACCAGAAAGAACTTCTCCAAGAGTCAGATCTTTTGAGACAATCTATTTAATAGAATGATTTTATTTTAAAATCAAGTTTTTTTTTTCTTTTATTAATTACAATTGATGGACGACAAACAGGAAGAGAATAATAATGATACGTTTCTTGAGGATTTCCATAAGGTCCAACTTTGTTTACATAAACTGTTACCTAAAATTAATTATTAATACAATCAAAGATTGATTTCTTTTTTAAAGATGATATTTACATTTTCTTTATCGACATATTTCTTTTCTGCACCATTGACAATCAATAATAAACATGAGAATAAGAATAAATCAGTAAGATATGATAACATCTATTATTTATATTAAAATATTTTAGATATTAATTAAACAATTATTCAATAAAACTTTACCTTTTAACAAAAATTTATCAAAATTTCGATGTTTTTTTGCATATCTAAGAAGAGAAAGCCATAAATTCAATGACAAAAATGATCACTATTGATTTCTGTTTTCTCAAAAGCCAATTGCTTATAATAAGAACCAACAGGTAAATTTCATTTAGAAATCATCGTAATATCTTATTTAAAAACTTTATTTTACAAAATTTTCAACAATCTAACAACTAAATTTTAATATCATAATTATTTTTTGGAAATATTGAAATGGTTTGGTAGATGACGCTAGTTGTCGTACAGAATATTTTAGGCTACTTAGAAAAACTGCCCAAACCAACAGACACCATGTCAACTACATTATATGATCAGAGCTCGCTACAAAAGTTAAACGCATACCAATTCTCGACTGTGCTTTTCATTTTGTAGTTGGAAATACTTGTTTCAGATGGAGATGAACACTGATTCTAAGCTGTACTCTTTCTATATAGAGAATATTGAATATGTGCGCATCTGTTACTAGTTAGAAACATTTGAAGTCAATCGTCAAATGTCAGAGCTAAATTGTAAAAACACTTTAATGGTGAAGATACAGAATCAAATTGGAAGATTTTGGATTCACGTGATAGGAAACGAATTCGACTTAGAGGCTGAATCATTAAAATTTGACTAACTAGCTTTGGCTTCTAGTATTATAACTGATAATAGATAGTCACACTTTCGATACTAAATATATAAAGAGAGAGCAGCTTGGAATCGGTGTTCATCTCCAGCCGAAACAAGTATATTTCCAATGAAAATGAAAGGTACAGCCGATAATTGGTCTCCGGCCGTGTCTTTAGTTTTTACAGGTACCGAAAATTTATTCTTAAAATATAATCAAAATAAAGATATCTAAAACTTTTTCTACCAGATATATATACATTCATTTTTTTTTGTGTTTAAAGATAGATGGTCGAGAATTTTAATATGAAATTCGTTACCATTCTTTTTTGTAAAATTCTTCGATATTATTAATTTGTTCTTTTTATCTTCTAATGAATATAATTTACTGTTCATTTTTGACATCATTATTGTTTTTATGAAATGTTTTTCAAATGATTGAAAAAGGAAGACTATGGTTGACATCTAGCATGCAGCGACAACTATTGCTGTCTTGTGATTTGAAATTCGTTATCATGCTGTGCAATAGATAAGGGCAAATAAAGTGACATACCTCTTATCAGTTTTATTTTCTGATCTTTCTTTCAATTATATTAAAGTAATGGCACAAGTAAACCCGACCAAAGCGGACAAAATCAAATCGATTATCGAATCGAGTAATCGTATTAAACAATCAACTCGAACTTGTGTGAAAGAATTTCTCGAGGTTTAAGAAAATTTTCTCGCGAAAGTGACCACTCTGAATGAGCATTTGAAGACAGTTGAAAATGTCGCCAATATTTTCCTCGACGATGAGACGAAAACGATTTTGAAAGAATGTCAACCATTGGAACAAGTTCAATTGGCCGTATGTGGCTACAATTCATCAGGAAAAACGTCTTTCATACATGAACTGCTTGAATGTGGCCAATTCTTACCCGTAGATAAGGGTCCCGTAACCGCACTCATCGTCAAATTCTCACATGCTCCATCAGAGAATGCGTGTCTGATTAAATATGTCTCGATGCTGGATCACACGGAGATAGGTGATCGAGTTGATTTGTCGACATATTTCAAAAGTGACATGAGTATCAAAGCTCGTACCAAAGCACTCCGCACAGTGGTCAAAAACCATGTGGAACGACCAATGAATATGTCTGAACATTCTGATGAATTCAAACAATGGTCAAAGACATTCATTGAAATTTGCATCCCTTCGCCAATTCTTGAACTGGGTATGCATGTCTACGATACGCCAGGCTTTCTTGGATCGGACGCACCAATTCTACGCGAGAATTTACTTGCATTAGTGGCCAGTGTTCATCCAACCTTGGTTTTTCTCTATGATAATCCAACCGGGTCTGATGATTCACGTAAATGCTACGAAGAACTTAAACTTGCTCTTCATAGTCACTCCATGGGTGCTGATATTTTCTTTCTCAATACAAAAGCCGATGTGGCTGTCATACGTAGGGATGCAAACAATAATGATGATAATGATGATGATGACGATGATGATGAGACACTGCTGAACACAGAACGATTGCGTTGTTACGACCTTCTTATGAAAGTTGACGAAATGAAAGGTGATGTTCATCATCGAATTGAGCACAATGAAGCACCATCATTCAATAAATGTTATTCATTCGATATTTTCTCAAACGTAGCACCTAACGATCCGATGGAACAAGCAATGAAACGTCATGCAATCGATCGAATCATTCATTTTGCTGCCGAACATGATTTGCGACTAACGAAATACATCATCAATATTGTACACACTGCTATTGATGCATTCTTCGATTTTATTCTAGTTACAAATCGCCGTTCACTCGTCGAGTGGAACAGATTACGTGATGATGCACTAGAATGGGGTGAGAGTTTCTTCAGGCAATACAGATCCATCGTTGATAAGATTGCCAACGAAGCCAATCGACGTTTACCACAACGTTTTCGTGAGAAGCGTCCTGCTATTGAAACAAGAGCTATCAAAGACTGTGAAATAAGAGGAATTCAATGGGATGAAAGACTTGAAATACCGGGTTCGTACATTTTCTATACCATGAGACGTCTGTTTCAAGGAATCATTAACATAAAGCGCAAATATCAGAATGACGAACAAATTCTCATCGATATGTTAGTTGAAAGAGAAGTGACTAAGCCGGTATTATTAGAAATTATTGCTCAACAAAGTTGTGATATTCAGAAGTTGGTGAGCAAAAGTTTCACATATCACCGGAACAAAAACGAACTTCTCTTTTCAGCCTATCGAGATGTACTAATAGACATCGGCAATATCGGTGATATCAACCAAAATCCTATCGGACAAGTTGTGTTTAATATAATCCGAGGATTGATCTTAAGCCCCATATTTCTCACATCATTGGTTGTTTCAGTTATTCCAGGTGTGAGTGGTCTTCTGATTCATATGGTAGGTGGTAAGAATGCTCAGAATGAATTCAATCGTCGTAAACAAGGCATTACTCAATATTTTGTCGATCTTGAAAACATGACGAGTAAAATGGGTGATCATATAAAGAAGAGCATGCTCGAATGGATCGAACGCGAACATAAGAACTTTACAAAAAAGTATATGGTTACCATAAAATTGTTTGCAGCACCATCAAAGATCGTCACAGGGCCTATGAACTAGCTCGCTCTTTCACGTCTCATTTTGTTCGCATTGAGTGCCGCTTAGAGGCAAATCTCAATTTAGACAGTCATCATGGATCTAGACCAGATATGAATGAGGAAGATGTCTTAGGTAGTGGTGGATTTTTCACTGTTCATCCAGCATCATAGGACAATGAGCATGAATTAGTCGCCAAGAAACTACGAAATCATATTATTGGTCAAAACTTTGCCTATTTAGAAGCTCATTTTCATCGAACATTGACCAATCTCAACATTGCACACATGATACCTTTAAAATATCTATATGAAGACGACAATTCTTCATTGTATTTACTCTTACCTCGTTATCGGAGCAATCTGCATAAATTTCTTGTCGAAAATATGGAACGAGTAACAGCAGATAAAGCTATAAAGATTTCACGTAATATTGCCAATGTTATTGCACATATGCATGCTTACGATCTTGTTCATCGCGACATCAAAGTTGAAAATATTCTTATGGATGAAGATGAAGTCTATTTAGCTGATTTTGGTACATGTCAAGTTGGAATAGAGAACACAACGTTAGTTGGTTTCCTTCCACTACCACCAGAACTCATTCAAACATTAGATTCTAGCTCAAATGATAGTGCTCGTCAATACTCATATCAAGGTACAGCAGTAGACGTTCACTTACTTGGCCGTCTCATGTATGCTTGTGCACCAAAAGATGTTTATACTCCGCCGTCGAATAATATCAATGAACAGTTACATCTACTTGATAGAAAAAAAGTTCCTGAAAAATACTGCCAATTAATTGCTCGATGTGTTAATAAAGATCCTAATCAACGGCCAACAGCCAAAGAAATCGTAGATGAACTCGATTCAATTGAAAAATCATCATGTGTTATATGTGAAGAAGCACCACGCTTTGCACGCTTTGAACCATGTGGTCATAAGGCACTATGTGTTCAATGTCTTAATCAAATTCAACAAACTCCTCAGCCAAAATGCGTTATATGCAGACAAATATTCACTAATGTACAAGAAGATAACAATGCGAACACTTTTTTCGCTAGTTCATTGAATTCTACTTGATGACACGTGAGAATAACATTGACTTGCTTTTATTCCAGAACTTAAATTGATTGAATTTATTTTTCTCCGAAATAATGAATTATTCTTGAACAATACGTGTGCTTTTATTTGAGAGTGTAGATATGAATCAGGCCTCGAAATCGAGCCAATTTTTGCTGGTCAAATTCAGCGAGTGTGGGTATGTGCGTATGAGGATGTAAATGTGGATACAATAAAGGACAGACTACCCACATTCTCTTTCTATAGAAGTTAATGTCGTAGAAAATACATATGACAAATGTATGCAAGATGGATACCTAACAGAAAAACAACGAATAAAAAACAATTTCAAATGAAATAATTCGACGAATATATTTTCTCATGAAAATTTATCTTGATTGAAAATTTGATGATTGCTAATAAACGATAGAAAAGTTTTTAGAAAATTATTGCTATTTATTTCTCATGTAAATATATCAATTGATTAGATTTGACTTGTTGCTTCTGTTTTTGAAAGATCATCCCCGGAGAGTGCAGAAGCAAATCATAAAATTGTTTATTTATTTATTAAATTTGTTCTATGTTCAAGAGAATCATTTCAATTACTATTTAACAAAATGGTTTGTAACACATGTATCATTTAATTAGCATTAAGTGCCACTTCAAAATCTATCAGCCATGACTAAAATACACTGTTGCATAAAGCTAAAAACCTTGTATCGAAGACATATATTTCAACAGTGTTTCGATCACTTCCCGAAGCTTCTACCGACTCACTTTTTTTTTCAATTTTACATTTTGTATCAAAATAATAATCCTGCAGAAAGAATCTTTGCGAGAAAACAATTTCCTAATCAATCACATGGCTAAAACAAAACTCTAAGTAAACGATATGATAGCTCTTGCAAAGCTTCATTTATGGTTATGATTGATTCGAATTTTGAAAAAAACACTATTCTAAACTTCCTAAGTAAACATACCAAAAAATAAAATTCAAAAGGTATTTTCAGCGTTGCTCGGTATTGAATTCAAATGAGAAGAAAATAGAAGAACAATGTTAGAGCATGCTTCGTTCTCTCGATTGCTTTTTCAAACAAAATAAACTCAAATTAATTCGATATTTAAGAGTCGAGTAAATGAGTCTCGATATTTCTTGAAAGATTTTTCCATAGTATTTTGTTTATGAATAATGAGTTTAACTTTCAAGACTTAGATAACAGAGGTACACATTAGGAAATAGTATCTCATCGGTAATAATAATTTAGTAATAATGATAATGCAGTTTATATGAGAAAAATATCAACTGTTTGAAACACTTCTGATTTTTAATTAGACTTTTCAAACTTGTTATTTTCTTGTTCAAGTTTTACCGATTGGACACCTTTGATTTTCTTTAAAAACCTTGGTAAAAATTGTCATTACTCAAAAAAGCAAGACAATCAACAATATCTTCAAATTCGCTCACAAAAAAAGCCATCCACATAATAAAATTCAAAAAGAGTCCGAAACAAACCGGAGTTTGCGGATTCTGTTCGACTTTAGCTTCAAAAACTTGGTTTGAGTTCGGTTCCGTTCAATTCAAATCGCATCTACTCGAAAAACCGTATAATTACGGTGAACGAGTGCAATGGAATCATAACTTCTAGTGAGCCTACTGCTATCAGGTGATGTCTTTGCTCTGAAAGAATAAAACTTGCGCACTAATTTCAAGTGTTTTTTTCAACTTTATTCCTAGATAGTTCGTTGACGGCTATTCATCGCACTGAATACCAATGACAAACAAAGAAAAAAATAGTCTGCTATGCATTAGCTTGCGACCAATTGTCACTATACAAACGAATCCTATTGATAACGAGACAAAATAGCAATTTCACTATGCTAACAACTATTATGCTTTATAGCACAATCAATAAAAACTCGTTGCAGTCATTACCAGCTCAATATGTCCTAAGCAATATATATTGTAGAGTGGAAACGTTACTTTTACTTAGGTTCTGCTCGACTAACCGAAAAGTCAGAACTTACACCTTCTAATTTTTGATGATTTTTTACGATTTTTCAATAGAAAATGAACATTTTTTGTGATTTTCATTGCCAATACAAAACGCTAAATCAAAATAAATACGATATTCGGAATCAGCATCAAAAACTGTATCTAATCATATACGTTTTAGTGAAATTTTTTTCTTGTCCAAAATTGGTCTGTGATTCCCCACAGCTATGTGTAAGAGAAATTTTTCTCCGTAGTCCCCCACAAGCTAATTTTGGACAGGAAAAAAATTTCGCTAAAAAGAATGTGATTAGATACAGTTTTTGACGCTGATTCCGAATATCGTGTTTATTTTGGTTTAGCATTTTGTATCGACAATGAAAACTACGAAGAATGTTCATTTTCTGTTGAAAAACCGTAAAAAAATCATCAAAAATTAGGAGGTGTAAACCCTGTTTCGCATCGAAAGGAAATTTTTTTTTGAATATTCTTTTACCATTTTGTAGAGAAAAAAAAACTGCATAACATATGTAAAATTCAGTTTGGGGTCTCCTAATCTTAAAAGACAGCATAAGATACATTGCTTTTTTTAGAACTGATCAAAAAGATCTCTTTTGACTCATGTTGACTTAATAAAAGATGAGTTGCTAAACATTATATTACATCCATGTAGCTCATTTTGTTCAGCTTTTAATTCTCTATCTTTTGGTATATACCATGAAGAATTTCAATCATCTGTTGAAACGCAAGCTGGAACAACTTTTCTAGGGAATTTTCTCTTTTTTTTTCATAAAAAGGTACGATTGTGACACAAGTCGGTATCGGCTAACTTTTCAAAGGAAAGATATTGGAACCTCAAATTTTGGGGTCCATGGTTTTAGACATTGATACGTTGAATGAGCAAAAAAAATCCAAAATCAATGTTGTTATCGATTGGCTCGTATACTCGGTCCCCTGATGGGCGTTCTCTAAAATATAACTTTTTGAAATAAACTATAAGATAAAAAAAAATATTCTTTAGTGTAAGTATATCGAAGATATTTCGATAATGTAAATGTACTTAAAGCAAACAAACATAAATTGAATGAAAAAGTTTGCCAAGAAAATTCAATTGAAATCAGAAACATTTTGTACAGTTTTTTATTTTCACCGACGAAAATCAAATGGAAGGAAAAAGTAATTAACCTTTTAATTGACAATAGACGATAGAGAATATTGTTTAAAAAAATCTATTTGAGTCGTTGTATATATAAAACAAGTTGACAGAAGAATAAATAATTCTCAAATTGATAAATGATAAATAGAAAAAGTGTTAAAGATAATAATTAATATTGATTTAAAAAAACGTGATGATTAATTATAAAATAAAATGGTAATATGATATTAAAATAAAATAAATCAATAATTTCCATATGCGTGTTCAAGATAGAGAAACATGTCATAGGACTTTTTCTTTTTTTCATTGTTGTTTTTTTTTTCTTTCTTATGAATTTCGTGTTGTCTGAAATGACTAATGATTATATTGGTAAAAGAGTAACGACAAGAACTATTTAGATAAATGAGTTCGTATAATCTTGCATGTCTAGAATAACTAAAAGAAAAACTCATTAGAATCTCCGTTCGGCCAAAGAAGACAAATGATCTTTTGCCGCTATAAACATACGTTCTTACAATCGATCTATGCTTCTTCGTCAATAAGAAGAAAAAAAAAAAAAAAAAAGATTATTAATGATTCGGTTTTTTCTATCAATGATCAAACGATGAAGTTGAACGAAAACAAGATATTGAACATGTTATATGTCACACCGTGTATTTTATTCACAAATAGAAATTCTATCTAATCAAAACAAAAATGAAAAAAAAAAACATCAATGAAATCAATTTGTCATTTATCATCAATTGAAATAATGTTTTATTCTTCGAATGAGATTCATTATTTTGGCTCTTTCTTTTTTTTGTTTTAAATTGATTCGAAAAAAAAACAACCGAATATCTTAATTGGATGATGTTGATGAAAATGATTCTTCCTTAATATAATCGCTCATTACAATTGTATCAATATGATGTTCTTGTTCTTCTTTTTTTATTAGATTAGGTGATGATGTTGTTGCAGATGGATATGTATCCGGTAATTTTGATTTTGTATTTGGTAATTTATGATCTTTTTTCCATTTCATTCGTCTATTCAATAAGAACAAAAACAAAAATCTTTTGTTTTACAAAATAAAAATAAATAATAAAAACAAACCTATTTTGAAACCAAATTTTGATTTGTCTGAAGAAAAGAAAAAGTCAAATAAACAAAAAAAAAAAAAAAAGATATTTTACCGTTCGGTTAAAACAAGTGAATGAGCTATTTCAATACGTCTTCGACGAGATAAATATTTTGAAAAATGAAATTCTTTTTCTAATTCTATTCATACAAAAAAAAAAAAACAAAAATAATTTTTTATAGAATTTCTTTAATAAAAAAAATCTATATAAATGTTAACCTAATACTTGATGTCGAGTATAAGCTGTACGAGCTCGTTTTGTTTCTCCACTTGTATAATTAATAACTAAAAGAAAATTATTTCATTTTTTATTAGAAAACAGATCTTTCATGACGATCACTCAGAAAATCTTTCAGAAATTTCATCGGATTTTGCGAAGGTTAGACCGTTATCTTTTTCAGAATTAATCAACAATAAAACGTTAAATGAAGAGAAAAACTTTTCAAGACTGTAGAAGTACCACCTCAGACTAATAATGACAAAAAATGACTTTTAGAACAATCAACTAATCATTATTAAAAATAACAATTATTCAATTTATCTCTGATGGATTAGAACTCAAAAAAATATTCGATTTTTATTCAATTAAAAAATTGATGAACGAGAATTTCTAGATTTCATATCAACATATTCTCTTTAACTCAGATAATCAAAAAGAATATATTCGTTTGTCGCCTCATTTTATAGATTTATTCAGGGGTGTCACGAACACGGAACTGACACACCAATATTCGGAAATTGTTTTTTTCTTTAGTGGATGATTTTCGAAAAAACCACCGATCCTCAATATTTTCCATCTCGGGACACCCTATGCTGAGCAATTCAATAATCTAATTGGTTTTTTTCATTTTCTTTTTTTTTTCAAATAAGAATAAAAAAAATGTTAACAATTTCTCGATATAAATAAAATCTATTGTAGTTGAATATTGATGTTTAACTAATAAATGTCGATGATCGTATTATTCTCTTTTGTTATTATCTGTATATGAGTTCAACTGTCTGGTAAAGCAGATGGTCAAAAAAGAAAGAAAAGCTTTTGCTTTTTTTTCTCTTTCATTTATATCTTATAGAAGATTGCATGTTGAAAATGACAGTAACTGTCGACATCGAACTAACATTTATCTTTTTATGTTATTTAAAGTAAGGTTAGGTCACGTAGTCATTGAATGATAAAACTATTGTGTTCATTTTATAGTCATAGTTATGATAAATGAAGTTTCATGTTCTTTGTTTTTTCTTTTCGGTCGAAATGCAAAAGGTTAGATTTTTATTCCATTGGGAATTCGATACTCATCTTTCGTGTCTGTGTTTTTTTTTTCTTAATATAGAATAGAACTGAAAGAGAGAAAAAAAAGAAAAAACCTATTTGACATTTTCAATGTTGGCATGATGAATAATGAAGTGATATTTGCAATAGTCGTTAAAAAGACATTGACAATTTGAAAAGAGAACAATGTGTTATAACAAATATATCGAACAATCTTTTTGATTGACTCATCTGATTAAATAAATAACACATATAGAGATATCAGATAAAATTTTCATTTAAAAAAATAATTTAAATTAAAAAAAAAATTTCTAACCTGAATTAGTAATATGTACTTTGCGCATCCATGGATAAATAATAGGTGAATTTTGTTCTTGTTTATTTAATGATGATGATGGAATAATATCAATTGATGATGATAAATCATTTGATGGTTGGATTGATGATGGAGGACATGGTGATGATCTAGGTAGACCTGATCGAGGACTTATTGATAAACCATAAAGATCAAGAGACATTGGATTAATAGATGATATCATATCAGTTTGACTACATAGATTTTGATCAACTGATGATATACCATTTTCTTCACAATAATTTCCAATTAAATCATTTGAACATGTATATACACAAGAATTACTAAATATTTATTCGAAATTTTTTTTTTCTCTTATAAAATTCTTATTAAATCAAAACTGATATATCTATGTTTAATAGTCGTTCAAATAACAGGAGGGTCTATAGAACTGTTGAGGATCTAACATTTATCTTCTTTTTATTTATTCCCAACAGATCTCAATATCTTTTTTTCTTTGCATTCTCTTTTCAAAAAGTGGTGACACACACCCCTTTCTCTCAATATTGACTGATATCGTCTCATCAATGTGTTTTGGAACAAAAAAAAAAGAAACTAGTTGATAAAATGTAATTAAATAGAAAAAAAAAATGAAAATAACCTTGATTGATTAGTTGATGTTGATGGAATAAGATTATAACGATAAAAATGATTTGTATTATCTTGATAAATGTCATTATTATAAATAGATATTTGTCGAGATGGTGTTTCATGAAAAGATTCTTGTTCATAATAATCAACAATAGGAGATTGTAGATGACATGACGAATTATTTACATTACGATTATTATCGGACAACTGTTGTCTAGTTGAATAATTTGTATTTGTACCATCAATTCCATAATTATTATTATTATTATTATTATTATTCATTAAATGAAGAGAAGAAGGATAAAGAGAACTCATCTTTTTTTTTCTCGATCGAACGATCAAATAAAAAGATAATCGTTTTTCTCTCTCTTTTTGTCGCTTTTTTTTTGTTTGTTAATGATGATACTCAAGTAAATGAAGAAATTGGAATAAAAAATAATTAATGATCGTAGAAATATTCTTCAAGATCGAACGATAAAGTGATGAAAGAAAATATAAGTTAAGTCTTGTGACAGAAAATGATCCATTAAATTGCTTAATGGATATAATAAAAAAAAAAAAAGACCGAGAATGATTTTCTTTCGCATAGACACGAACTGTTCGAGCCAATCAAGATGTTTCTTTCTTCGATTTTTTTTTCATTGGTGTAAAGAAAGGAAGAAAAAAAGAAAAAGCACGACAACGACAAGAGAGAATTTGTTCGTGTTTTAGAGAAAAGAATCGATCATTTCTCATAGAAAGAATAATAATAAAAGAAATAAATCTGATATATTTATCATCGACACTAACCAAAGACATGACAAGAAAAAGAAAAGAATAAAAAAATCAAAAGAATCTTATTCAGACTTGATCTCATTTTTGTACAACAACTATATTCAATAGAATTATCAAATCCTTCTTACCAACAAATTATTTTTATTTCGAAAATATACTTTTATTTTTATTCTATTCAACAAAACTTTATTTTCTTTTCTATGCGAAAAGAATTTTTTTGTATAATTTTAGATTTTTTAGATGAGAAAGGAATAACATATTTCACATAGATATTGAACATTTTATTATTGTTACGTTTAACAAAAAGTAAGGTATTCTCCATGAAAAAATTTGAGTGAAATAGTTAAATGTTTTAAAATAAGATTACTTTGAAAATTGTCCAATAAAAAGGAATCTTCCGAGGTGATCACGATTCAACCGGAAGGAGGTTTAACATTCAGAAAATCGATTGAAAAACTTTTGCTAAATTTCACTGGAGTTAAGCGTTTTAGTTTTTGAGAATTGATGAGCAAATAAACCAAAAAAAAAGTCTAGAAATTCGCTGGAGAAAAACAAAAATTTTTCAAGATTGGGGCTGAAGATTCATTGGTGATAATAAAATCGAATTGGCTTGATGAATAATCGATAATATTCTTTTAAAAAATCCATTTTCAATGAATCTACAGAAAATTTCATATTGGATAAAACTTTTTTGATTATTTTTTAAATAAGAAAAAGAACAAATATGAAGATTTTTGATAAAAATTTCAAAAAATAAATTCAATCTATACTATAAGTAACATCTTAACTTTTTATTTCTAAATAGATGAAACATTTTTGATAAATTTCAAAATAAATCTTTTTTTTTTATTTTAAGTTGTCTTTGAGTTTTATTTGATATAATATTATTTGCATATCAATTAAATAAAAATGATATTTGAAATGTTAGCGAATAATCGAGATCGAATAAATTTTTTGAAATATATTCATATTGTTATGTATTATATAATAGTCAATAAATTCAATTGATTTTCATTAATCATTTTATTTTCAATATATCGAATTCTCTATTTTAAATTGTTAAATCGTATAACAAATCAAATAAAAACATTGAAGAAATAAAAAAAAAAAAACCTTCATTAATCTTTCTGTCTCGAATGTTTTTTTTTGTTTCATTTTGTCGGTCGATTTGTTTGAAAATGTAAAAGTTGAATTATTCTAAAAAAAAAGAATAACAACGATTAATATGATGAAAACTGATAAGAGAGATTTTAAAAAACATATTTTATTGTTATTTTAATTCTGTTGAAATAAACATAAATGTAGGTGTGTTAGCAAGTGATATAATCAGATTGTCTTGTTCAAAATTCAATGAAAAAAAAAAAAAAAAGAATAGATTGAGTTTAATGATCCGATTGATGTTTGTTCGTCTTATGAGAAAAAAAATACATTGAATTGTTTCGATGTTAATGAATATTTAAATAGATTGAACAACAGCGGTACAAGTCTGTCACCCACTACTATCATCAATTAAAAACAACTTTAGTTTTACTATTCAAACTTTTTTTTTTGTCAAACCTTCTTAATTAAACGAAACAAATGCAAAAAAAATGTTCTTTTATTAACAGATTATTGATTAATAACAATCTTTATTTCATATTTTTTTTTGATTTCATGTCTTCTCCGTTGAGAACATTTTTCCTTAATTGCCAGATAAAAAAAAAAGATCCGCAAAGTAGAATCGAGGGGAGGTGAAAAAAGATAAATAATGGCTGCATTATAGAAACATGCAAGAATAGATTTAGTAAGAGAATCAATGTAGATAAATCGATTTAAGAATGAATATAAGGGTATACCTCCTCTCTTCAGTCATATCCTCTTATTGACCGAACCAAGTTGTATAACTGACTGACATTTTTTAATGGATATATATATGTCTGTATTAACTGTAGCACCAGTAGAAAATCGAAATCTCTATCGTATTCGAGTAACTATTATCGGGTTCAGATGTAAAAGTATTTGATTAAAAATTAAATAAATTAAGAACACAAGTAGTTAGCCATCTGCGATTTTCAGCAATCGAAAGAGGAGACATGGGAACACTTTTTTCTCTGAAAATGTCTAAGACAAAATCTTTTTAAAATCAATCATCTCCGGGAAACATTCGAAAAAATGCATGAAACTAATCTGCCGTTCTGATGAAATTTTGAAAAAAAGTAAAAAACAAAAATTTAGCTGAAAATCAAGACAATTTCGTATTATTTGAGTAAGCCAGTACATAATTTCGTTGATTCAACGTTATAATGTGAAATGATAACAATTCACATTGTGTCTTGAGCTATAGATCTCAAGTTCCTCTATGCAAATGACATGTCAAAATCAAAATTTTATCAGAATGGTAGACCAGTTTCATGCATCTTTTCGAATGTTTCCCGGAAATAATTAATTTTAAAAAGATTTTATCGTAGACATTTTCAGAGAAAAAGACGCTTTTATGTCTCCTCTTTCGATTGCTGAAAATCGCAGGTCGCTAACTACTTGTGTTCTTGACTTATTTAATTTTTAACCAAGTAGCTTTAAATCTGAATCCGACAATAGTTACAAAGCAGCAAAGTTGCCTAAAATGTAGATTTTTGCCCATCTTGGATAAGTCAGAATTTTTTAAAATGTTTTGAAAATTTTACCCTAAGTAGAACTTCTAGGGATATGTGCTCACAAAAAATTTCAGATCAATTGATTGAGCCTTTCTTGAAATATGGTTTCATCAAGATCCTCGTTGGTCGAAATGTAGGTGTTTAGAACTCTTCGTAGAACATTCGTGCAAAAAAATCGAAGATTCAATATTTTTTAAAGTAGTTTGCATTAAAGTTCATAAAATGCTTCTCTTTACAACAATATCTTAAATTGAGCAGATATGATCATGACTTACGCGGAATGAATAATAGGCGAAATTCAAATTCTAAGACTTTAAATTAAGAAAATTCATATCTATTAGTGTTCTTAGGCTATCATATAAAAGCCTAATATATTGGATATGTACTTAACTCGAGTTGGCTTCCTAACTGATAAAAGATATAGACGTTCGTAGAATCAATTCAATAAGCTCGATCCACTGATAGTATCAGTTTCTCATTTGGGAATATTCGTGTCTTTTATGAATACCCATGCGCGATATAGTTAGATCTTAATGACTTATGTAACGATATTCATTACACACACATCATAGATGTATACATAAAAGTCTATACTCTTAAAGTCACATAATGTACGCTACATCCTTAGTCCTATGCTCTAAATATATTCTCCTATGAGGATATTGTTATATGTCTGTCATGATAAGTATATGCCTATGTAAACGATTTTGACTCGAATAAAAATCTGATTGACTAGGTTACTATCGATTATGTAAAAATGCCATGCAATCGGAGAGAAAAAAAGTCGAAGTTTGATCGAATATTTCATTTGGTTTTCAGATGATAGAGCCTACTTATCTTGATAGCTATGACATCAATCATGTTTCTTATGATCAGTTAGTTATATTCAACGTTAATATTTCAATTGATTTTTCTCCTAATTTTCATCGTTGTTCTTCATTATGATGAATAATCGTTTATGACTTATATTATAATATATGTTTCACAGTTAACATAAGTAGGTTGAATTAAAACTAACTCAAATTTAACTAGTAAAATTTGATTCAATTCAATCTCTGTTAGTTTCTCTTTTTTTGACTAGGATTTACGTGATTAGTAAAATAGATGAAATGATCAGTAAAAAGTATATAAATTATCAATATAAAGATTAAATGATGAGTAGTGAAATTTTCAGTTCCATTCCCATAGAATAGAAACCTATTTTCGAAATCAGTACTGACCGATTTCCATGGGTTCGGAAGTCATGAGGGATCTATGGGAAATCCATATGATCTTAAACGATAAGCTGTTCCGAAGTAGCCACGTGCAGCAATGTGCTCTCTGTGAAACATTGTGTAGCTGCATCAATCAAGCCATATTGGACGTGGCTGATAGCGGCTCTACTCGCAGTTTCTCACTGTCGAATTGGATTTCTATAGGTTCTCATGGATCCTCCACGGATTTCCCATGGGTTCCTCATGAATTCCGAACCTATGAAAATCAGTGAGTGCTGATTTGGGAGTGGGCTTCTATTCTATGGGGAGGAGACTGAAAATTTCAATACTTATCATTTAATCTATTTTACTGACCGAATATTTTGTTGCCTTTTTTTTCTGGTAAAAATAAATTCCTTTATGGTATAATATTGTTTGAACATTATTATAATATTCTATATAAAATCGTAAGTAATATTGAAGTAATTCTAATCTTCGACTGTTTATAAAATGTAACAAATTATTTTAAAAAATAGTAAATAATTAATTAATTTTAGTCTTTTCTGATGATATTTTGAATAGAAAAGTAATAATAAAAAACAATTTTAATAAATATGATTATTTTGAACATGTTGGATTATCACATGGCCATGAACGACGTAATGTTTGTGAATTATATTTGGTACATGTTTTATCATCAGTTCCACTATGTCCATGACCTTGATGACAAGGACTATAATCATTAATAATTGATGTAAATACTTTTTCATCAATAGGACCTTCAACATAATCATGAAAATCAATATAACCCGTATCAAGATCTTCTCGAAAACGTATTGGAATATGTGAATCAACTTTAGTATACATATTACGAAGATTACGGACTGGTCCTACACCAGTAAAATTGGAAAACTGAAAAACAGAAGCAAAAAAAAATCTTTTTGAGATTAATCTAAATAATATATAAAACATACCCATTCAACCATCCAAAAATCTACCAATTGCCCATTAATTGTAACTGTTCCATTAAAAGTTGCATTACTTTGACATAACCATTCAGGTTTCCAAGCAGGAAATGAATAATTACAACATGTTTGAGCTCCTGGATAAACATAATAATTTTGTCCTTGATAAAAAAGTACGGTACATGGAATATAATTCGAATCAATACCAGCTTGATATAATTGTAAAAAAGGACATATCGGATAAAAATCAGTTCTAATTGCTTGATGAGATGCATCATACCAAAAATAACCCCAACCTGTATCACCATTTGACATATTGTAATATGTTGTTGCTGCTGACCAAGATGATGCCATAATAGGAGGTGTTTTAGATGGTTGAATTTTATTTTTAGATTTACGTTGTTTTGATGAAGAAGCAACACACATTGTTGTATTCAATTGATTTTGTGTATCAGTAGCTGGAATTACAACTGAAATACATTGAAGACCATCACAACAATGAAAATCTGTTGGAGCTAATAATGAATTATTGCAATTTAATCGAGTTTCATCCATACAACCAACTTTTGATGGACAATATTCAGTACTTTCAATTTTTTTGATTACAATGAAAATAATTGTCAAATATTTAATAATTAATTTCATTTTCATTATAAATTTTATTGAAAGCAATAAAATAAAGCTCACCTCCTAAAATAAAAACAACAAAATAGGCAACAATTTTTGCAAGATAATAAAACATTTTTGTTTTTTATCTTATCGTTACTCGTAGATATTGAAATTAGCTTTGTCATCATAATGTTTGCTGATTGTTATTCGAATTTCGTATACGATATATTTTATTTATTCAGTAAAGAAACTGATCAAGTTTTAATTACAATATTTATCCTGAAATTCTTTACAATAATCAGAATGAAAAGTTCTTGTCATTTTTTAAATAAATTCCTTCTATTAAGTTTCATTGTTTGATGTACATTCTTTTTTAAAAAAGACTCTAGAAGAAGAGTTTAACAGCTAATATGATTAAGTGCAGGCAATGCATATGTTTGGTGATGATACGTTATTATTATAATTAAGAGTTATGTGACTTGATGCATTCTTCTTATTCAATGTTCGCTTAGTCGATAGCGAGAAAATATTCGGTTATCAATAGTGATAATGAGTAGCATTTTTGTTAGAGTTACTTGATAATGTAATGATAAATGATCAATTCTAATTATTTGCTATCATTGGTTGTTTTTTTAAAATGCCTCGAAAGTTTTTTTGTTTTTCCAAGACGAGGAAAATGATAGATATAATTGGTGTTAACATTCTTCAATCAATTCTATCAAATATTTTTTTAATTAAATTTCTGATTATTTAAAGAATATTTGTTTGAAAGATCGAATAGAATGTTTTGTACACTCCAGTAACATATACTATTTATTTAACAAACGAAAAGATTGTTATACGTCTATATATATAATAAATATTTGTCTCTTCAATCTATCAAAATTGAAAGTATTTTTATTTTTCAAAACTATGCTCTTTTTTATGTCAATCATCTTACTTCTACCAAGTTAGTTATATTATTTGATAATCTTTAATCATTTTAAAATTATCTACAGAAATCCAAAGTCAATATTCTCATTATGATAATGAACGTATACAATGTTATTCTTGTAGCGATTGTCCAGAGCCATTCTTTTATTCCCATAGTCAAGTTACAACAACACCACCTAATTATGGTCAATGCATGGTATTCGATTTTCTATTGATAAAATTAAAATAAAACGTTTTTTTTTTTTCATAGAAAACAGTAGTTTACATGCCGACGACGCATCGACATCTAATTAGTAAAGGTTTTACACGTAATTGTATACCAGAATCGTCAAACGATGTACGTGTTTATTGTTGTCATCACTATCTTTGCAATAGAAGCAATGTTCTTTTTCAATCAGAATTTTTTATTATTCTTGTATTTTTAATAGTTAGATTTTCTTCAATTGTATAATCTATATTTTATAGAGAATAAATAAATTCTCATTTCATCTTATAATCAAAATAAGATTGTACCATTAAGTGTTTGAATAATATATCATTTCACTGTCTGTGTACGTTATAGAACAACTAAAGAAGAAATATTGCCAACTATCATACATTAGTTTTTATCAGAAGAAAAAACTTAAAAATTTGTCCGACTCCTTCGACAGAGACTTGAAATATTCTATATATTTGTTTATTTTCAAGAATTAAGATAAAAAATTTTCGATAGAGATTGTTTATCTTACACAGTCAGATACAGACAATAGATTTAAACTCTTTAAGAGTTAATCTAGCTTATCGAGATTTATTTCTATTGAAAATTACAAAGTGGTGCTTTATGATATCATTCAACTGGAGTTTTTGTAAGTTTTAAGTATATTCTTATCAATTAATTAATGCTCTTTACAAACTTATTTTATTTGTCAATTAATGTGACACATCCAATTCGGTATCATGTCAGTTTGACCTCGTTTTTTTGTCATCTGTATAATTTAATATCATTCTATAAAATGTCATTACGTTTCTTGTTTTGTACAGGAGGGGGAGGGGTCAACTCTCCGTAGGGGGGGAGCTGAGCCTCCTCTAGTCCTATCTGTATACGCCACTAGCTGTTTTCAACATAAAACTTGAAGGAAATCTGAAAGATAAATAAAAATCTGACATATGTTGCATTAGAGAGTATGATGAACTTTCAATAACTTTAGCTGATCGACTGTTCGATCTATTGATGAAGCTCGAAAAGGTCATTTTCAACTTCACTATGTGATACTGCATCTCGAAACATAAATTAATAGTCGATCAGCTAAAATAATTGAAAGTCAATCATACTCTCTAATGCAACATATGTCGAATTTTTATTAATCTTTCGGATTTTCTCCAAGTTTTATATTAAAAAGAAGATCAGAATTTTCTTTTTTGATACTCATATTTTTGTAGAAATGTTCGAATTCTATCGAATCATATAAAAATTTCTAGTAAAAAACATGTTGAAAACAATGTTTCAATCGATTTTAACGAATCAATTATTGAAGAATTTTTTTATTTTTGCAACAAATGTAGCATGTAAAATGCTCAGTCATCATCAATAAAATAATCATAACTTTTCATAACTATGACATAATGTGAAGCATTTGTTTTTCAGATGATAGCTTTTATCATTCTCTACAAAACTATATATTTCAATCAACTACCTACAAATATATTTTATACAGATAACGTCAATATATAGAGAGGGATCGAAACTTTTGTAACACCTTTTAAGACAATTCGTCACAGATGTGTCGATATGTCTGCTAGTGTAAGTGCGGATCTTTTTGTGTACCTTCGCCGACATTCTAACACACACGCCTACACTTCCATACCCACATCCTATTTGGGCTATTATTGTTTCATTTATCTGACACAATGCACAATTTGAGTATCGAGAAAAAATGTTCTCGGAATAAGTTCTTCAATGTGAAATAGAAAAATAAAAGTATTATGATTGTATACTTGTTTCGTTTAAAATCATATAAATTTCAGTTTGTTTTTTAATTAATCTTTGTCTGTAAGAAGAGTTAATAGACGTTCTCTTAAATCACGAAAACGTGGTCGCATTGCAACATTATATGTTAAACAAGGAAGAATAATGTTCGTATATATTTCAGTGGATCCAAAATGTTCTGGTTGTGGAAGAAAATGAGTAAGATTTTCTGATGAATTTTTTAAAAGAATTTGAACAGCACTATTATTGACGTTTCGAAATGGTCGTTCACCCAACGAATATATTTCCCAAAGAGTTATACCCTATTAGAATAAAATAAAATAAATAATAATAATAATAATAATAAAAAATCTTCATACATAACTCCAGACATCTGAACGAGAAGAATATTTCGATGAAAATAAAGCTTCAGGTGATGTCCATCGTGGAGCACATACTGAACGAGCCGTACCTTTGTACAAGCCATGATCGGTCAATCTTAATTTAAAAAATTAAAATCTCTTTTTTTCTTTTCGTTGCCATTGTAATTAAATGTTAACATAAAGAAAAAAGCAAAACTTACTTAGTTAAACCAAAATCTCCAACTTTAAGTTTGTCATCTTGACCAATTAAACAATTTCTTGCTGCTAAATCTCTATGAATAATATTTCGTTCTTCAAGATATAACATAGCATCAAATATTTGTTTTCCAAATTTATTTAATTTATTATTTATATATTGAAAATCTGATTGAAAAAATATTTCTCGATTTTTTCTTAAATAATTTAATAATGAACCATTTTTCATAAAATCAGTAACTAAACATAATTGTTGTTTATCTCCAAAAAATGTAACACCAATTATACGTAAAAGATTTGGATGTTTTAATCGTGTCATTATATATGCTTCATAAAGTAATTCATATATATTTTCATCATAACTATTAAATAAATAATTTGACGAATATTCATCTTCAATATATAATGTTTTTAATGCAACATCACGTTTACCTTTGTATAATGCATGATAAACAATACCAAAATGACCTTTGCCAATTTCATCAATATTCTATTTATACAAAAAAAAAAGAATAAGAATATTTATAATGTGTGAACAATGAGACTTTGAAATAATATAAATAAAGAATCTATAAGTAAATCGATTGACAGGGAACCCTTTTCAATTGTAAAATCATTCTTCAGTCAAGATAATGCGCATCATGTTGACCTTAATTAATTATGAATACTTTATAGATAGAATTAATAATTATTATATAAAAATCAATCGAAAATGAGTGCGAATTCAACATAAGCAAGGCTAAACTATTGTAATCTTACTCTAGATGGAATCAAAATCAATTCGGTTATGTTTAATAATAATATAAACGAAATAAAAACAAATTCTCTTTTTTATGTTGTGATCGAGTACGATTAATTGCGTATCGATTATTTATTTTTTCTATTCAGACATTTAATTTTTGTTGAGAAAAAATTTTGTTTTTAAAATTTTATAGAAGAAAATAAGAAATTCTCTCTAAGTTTTTCTTCTCACTTTTACTTAGATTTAGGCCCATCCTCCCTCAAAAATCGATCTCACTCCAGGAAAGTTCGAATGGCATGAAATTTTTAAGAATATCTTGGAACTGATGTCGGAAGGCTATGGTAAAATTTTCAACCCTTTATCATGACGCTTGACAGAGATATGAATCAAACACGGATCAAAAATAGCTCGATCGTATCTTCAAGAATTCTCTGTGAATCTTCATTCTATACATTTTATTTTTTTTTGTTTGAAAGCTTGTGTCTATGACTAGCCATCCCCCCCCTCTCGTGGCCCTTTGTTTTTAAAATTCTTACTTTTTAAGCGAAGAAAAGGAATAACAAGCTCAATAACTCAAAAATCACTAAAAAAATGATGCTGTTTCTACCGATGTGTTTTCTTATATGATAATAAAAAAGCTTATTTTAAAAAGTGGGTCACACGAGAGGCTAGCCCTGAACAAAAGCTTTCAAAAAGAAAGAAAGTTATTGATTACAGTGAAGCTTCTTCGAGGATTCTTGGAGATAGGATCGAAAACCTATAAAACGAAAAAGATTTTTGGTTGTTTTTCAAAAATAGTTTATTTATTTGAATAGTGGATGATGGAAATATTCAAAAATTTTTGGTAAAAAATCAAGTGCTGTATAAAAATTTTTATCGTTTATGATAGATCAGATCACGAGTTATCTTATTCTACATTGATCTTAATTTTGATCATTCTGACGAAAATGTGACTCTTTTGTGGGAAGATCTTAATCTGTATTAAATTCGAATAATTTACTTGAAATTCTTGTGGTTCAATCAAAACAAGTTTAAGACTTGGTGAAATTTTTTTTCTTGTGATTTTTGAAGGAAATGTTTGATTCAAACATGTTGTTGATAATGATTTTTCAATATTTTCACTTGGAAATAATTGTTCAGAGATGAAAGAAGTTGGCGATGGATTTCGTTGTTGTCTTTGTTTAGCATGATTATTTAATAATTGTTCAACTGTAATAAGAGTCGTTGTATACAACATATTATCAGTTGATCGACTTTTTCTTACACCAAGTTGTTTTTTTTGTGTATTTTGAGAAGCACTTGGCTTTTTTCTTCTTTCAATTTTCTCAGTTGAACATGATTCAAGTACTTTTACTTGTTGATCAGATTTTTGATCACGAGATGAAGATGTAAAATGATGATGTCTATAGAAATTTGATATTTCTACATTAGTAAAACGAGAAATATCATTGCCAACAAGATTTATTTGATGATCCGATCTAGAAGAAATTCGACTACTACTTGAACAAGAATTTTGTTCTGGTGAATGTTGTTGATGAAGTAGATGTTTTTGTAATGATGCTTTTGCACCCATCAATAATTTTTTGTCTTTACAAAATGATTTGAAAACAAGAAAGAGAAAAGAAACGAAGAAAAATATATCTTATCGTGAAGAAGTCAAACACGTGTGACCAAATTACTTTTTATTGAGTCATTTATAGAAATATTTTTCTTTACTTGGTATTTTTATTTACGTGACAATAAATCAACATGGGATTTATTCATCGATATCTGTTAAGTACACATGCCAACATAGTTTTTTTCTTTCATGAAATATCACAAGTCGAATATTCTTGTCGTTATTTTTTCAAAATTATTATTTTTTTTCTTCATGTAATAACAGATTGGATTAGAGTTAGAACTGAATCATCAAACTGATCGGTCCAATTTGGATGATCTTCAAAAATTGACTTGCTTTACTAGTTTGTTTTTAATTAATTTTTCAGAAGACTAACTATTTTGCTCGTTTTTATCATTTTCCATAACTTCAAAGGCTCAAAAAAAAAAGCTTGAAAGCGTCCAACTGTAGAATTCCTAGTTATCATCAAAATCTCAACTGATGATTTCTCATTGTATAATAATCCATGTTGCAAAAACCAGATCAGTTTTACTGGTAAACCGCCAGTTTCAAACGATACCGCGATTCTCAACAAATTCCATTGGTCAACCGTGGTTTATCGCTAGTTTTTCCGGCGAAGAAAAGACGACGAGCGGGCATAGAATGAAAAAACAAACCTGTATATAGACATGTGCTCGCCGATCTTTCGCTCATTTTGCTGGTTCGCGTGGTTAGATAAAATAATCAAGAAAAGAATGAGAGACGCAGTATAGATTTAATTACTTTTATAGATAATTTTTTCATAATTATTTCATTTAAAAAAAGTTAATTTCTTAATATTTATTTATTTTTTTTTTATTAATATTTTAATATTCACTTCTCTTTTAGATTAATTTTTTTATTTAATTTTCAGATTATTTTTTTAAATTTAATTTATAATTTTTTTTAAAAACATTTTTAGATTAAGTCATAAGTTATTGTTTAGATTCATTTTTTAATATTTTATTTTTAAATTCATTTTTTCACATTTTATCTTTAATTTATTTTTTTTACATTTGATTTTTTAGATTATGTTTTTAAAATGTTAAATAAATTTTTTGCAATAATTATTTTTGCGTTTATTTTTTTTTAATATAAATTTTTCGTTTTTTTGCTATGTACGATTTTTTCTGTTTGCTTGTATTTTTTTTTTGTTTGAAATAAACTAGTTTCATTGAAACATAAGTGTTAAATTTAAAACAAATACTGGCAAGACCAAGGCTCGAAAAATGCCGATAAACTGCGGTTTACCGAAAAAAAAAATAGTGGTTTACGATGATTTACCGCGGTTAACTGCCGATTTTTATCACATGGGAAGGGTCATCGATTATGGTCAATTAATTTATTATGGACAAAAGTTAGTTAGTCATCAAAAATTAAATTCTGTTGAAATTAAAGATTTTTCATCTCGAAATTATGAGCTGATTTTTTTGAACTAATTTTAACCGATTGTTAGAAATTGTTAATAGCTAGCAGTTTACAGTTCATTCTTTTCGACTATGTTCAGTTTAAATCGACTATGCTCTACATGATTTGAAACATGAAAATCGATTTGAAGGAACTCGATATAAAAGTGTGAGATATGCAGTAGAATTAGCCATATATCTAAAAAGACTATCTGAAGTTATATGTTGAAATATGATACATTTCTATAGATAATTATCAACTGATAACTTATCATCAATGAAAATTTAAACCAAAAAAAAATTTCTCTTGTTTTGATAATATAATGTTAACATAGACTTTTATTGTCAATATAACAATAAGAAGAAAATCTTTACTAAATGAGAGAAAAATCTCATTGAAAGTAAGAAAAAATAAAAAAAAAAAAAAAAAAATTTTTATAATTGAATATTAACCGATTTCAATGAATTAGTAATCCATTGTGGAATATCTTTATCTTGATAATAATTTGAAACAAATTCTTTTATAAATTCTGGAAAACGTTCTTCAATAATTGCTTGACGAATTCGAGACATTAATCTCATCTAAATTTTAATAAATATTCAATAAAAGAAAAAATAAAAATAAAAATATAAAAACCTGATATGCAACATTATGAATTGTAAGTAAATGACATGCAGTTGTTTCTTTATTAACAATTGTATTAAGATATGATCTTGTATAACCAGATTGACAAACAGAACAAATACATTTATCATCTATTAAACGATGATCTTTTTCATAGATTTGTTTATTTAAATTTAATTGACCATTATCAACTAATGCACATCCAAAACGCTTATTTTTTTAAATTTAATAAATAAATAAATAAACGAATAAATGAATAAATAAACTTACAGCGGTTCGAGTTGGAAAAACACAATCAAACATATCACAACCAAGAGCTGAACATATAACAAGATCAATTGCAAAACTATTTAATTAAAGACGAAATAATAAACATCTTAAATAAAAATTCAATAAACAAACCCAACACCCATTAAATATCTTGGTTTATCATTTGGTAAATAATCTGTTGAAAGTGTAACCATACGCCAAAATTGATCTTTATCTTCTCCTCCACTTAATCCACCTATTGCATAACCAGGACAATTACGTTTTACTATTTCTACGCAACGAAAAATTCAAAAAAATAAAATAATAAAAGAACTTTTTGTTTTTTTTTAAATTTAAAATCAAACACAAAAAGTAAACCTTTAACAGATTGTTCTCGTAAGTTTTGATCAAGACCACCTTGAACAATAGGAAAAAGACTTTGTTCATCTGGACGAGAATGTGCTGACATACATCGATCGAGCCATCTTAGTGATCTGGTTGTTTTTTATAAATAATTTTAAAATAAAAAAAATCATTTGATGAAAATCAAACCTCCACATAGCTTCTTCAACTCTTGGACCAGTTATTGTACTTGATACAACATCATCCAATTGCATTATTATATCAGCTCCTATTGACAAAAAATAAAACAAACAAAGATATTCGATTTTCCATTAACAAAACTGCTTTTTAGCTTTCTCTATAATATGTCTCAAAGAAATTAATGTTTATAGGATAAATATTTTTTATTTATTTCATATTTCATAGTGAATATGAAAAAAACAAAAACGTCCATCAAGGATTACTCTTTTTATCATTACGAAAATGACTAAACTATTAGATTAGTTTTTCTTTTAATAAAATTTATGCAAACATTAATACAAATTATTATTTATTAAGAAAGTTTTTATTATGTTCAATCTCGAATAAATTTAATTTATATAAATAAACAATTTTTAGAAAGAAAAATTTTATTCTTCTCTAGAAACTTAATAAAGATTGTTTATAGTTACTCATTAAAAAATCAATTTTTTAATTATTAAACTTTATTTTAAAGCAATATAGAAATATTTACAAAAGTTTTATTTTCTTTTATGTATAAATTTTTTTTTTCTAAAAATTCTAAACATCTTATATTTAATATTCTGATAACTGAATAAAGAATTACAAGCAAAGATTTCGACTCTGATTCTCAATTAGATATAAAACAAAAACGATAATCAAATCTAAAAGTTTTATTGAATGATAAATTATATGACGACGAATAAAATTATGCTTGATACGCTTTTCAATAAAATAATGATTGTGTCTTCTGTTTACATTTTTATTTAATTGAGGTTAATATACAAACAGGAAAACAATTAAATAGAACACTAATTCAATTAGATTTATTTTGTGAAAAAAAACCGAAATTATTATAAAGTATTGCATAGAAATGCTCCAAATTCTGGAGAATTTTCTTGCCATTTTCTATTTATTTATATTTTTTTTATACTCAAAATGAAACATATTTATGATCATAAAGAGATCCACATTTAAAAATAAAAACTAAAAATATTTGTCCGTTAATTCTGAGACCACTTGGACAATTTGAAGTATCTGCAAACCACGATGGGTTTTTTCTATTTTATTTAATTGATAAATGTATTTATCATTATTATGATCATAGAAATGAAATTGAAATCGAAGAATTTAAAATAAAATGCAATAATTTTAAAGATATTTATCCATTTGTTGAATAAAATAATAAAAAAAATTTAATGGAAATTTTAAAAATAAATAAAATAGGATTGTTGATACTATTATTTATCAATAAATTCATTGGTTTTGTTTTTGTTTCTATAGAATTACTATTGAACATAGAAAAATTCAATAATTACATTATTAATTTAATATTGAATAGTAAGAATCTTATCAAAATAAATGATCGTGAATATAACAAGAATGTTTTTCAAACTTGTAGATAATTTTTGAAAAGAACTTTTGAGACAATTCGAACTAAATTTTTCATGAACTTTTGATCGTTACGGATCACCAGAAATTACCGCCAACGACCGGTTTTTTATGGTGTATTGTGTCGTTACAACATGCTCAATATAACTGGACGCATACAACACAGTAAAACGCCGTATATATGTCGTAATGTTGTCATATTATTGTTCCTATATTTCCTAATAAATGCAATCACATTGACATATCGCATTTCACTATATACGGGTCGTATTCTTCAATCAAGGAAGCAAAACAAATTGATTTTGTTCGTATGTATGTCATTGACAAAACCAAATAAATTAATTTCGAAAATGAAATATTCTTGATGAAAAATTTCAAAATCGTTTAAAATATTTTTCTAAAAGTTTTAGACAACAAAATGAATTTATTCTTTTGAAGAAAAACAATAAGCTAATCAAGTTGATAATATTTATGAATAAAACTATCTTGATAAGAATAAATAGATTTTATCAAAAACTTTTCAACTATAATTGTCATTCGAGAAACTTGTTTATGAATAATGTTCTTAATTGAAAATTGATTCATTTCATTTAATTGAGAGATCAATTTTATTAGTAGTTTTCTTTTCTAATATTTGAAGAAATTCTTTTTAAATATAGAAAAGAAAACTTTATATGTTAATTTGAATATAATATTAGGTTTTG